GTGGGGGCCTCCCAATGAGCCCAGTGGTAAAGATCCCCAGTGGTCCTGACACCCAGGAGACCTGCCGTTGCCCAAGCCCCAGCCAAGGCTAGAGGAGTCTTAATGGACAGCCAGTTGAGGTGGCCCAGGATGGAAGCGAGAGTCTGTGCCTGGGGTTGGCGCTGAGTCGGGGGTAGGAAATCCAGACTCCAGACGTCACCAAATCCCGTTGTGAAGACCGAGCCTTTCAGCCCTCACTGGGACCGTCTGCCTGGTATGCACGCTTGCCTGGTGCCGAGGCACCCTCTGTCACTGCTTCTGCTCCTTGGGCTGGTCCCTCAAGGCTACCATCATGGGCTTGTTCCCTTCAGCCGCCCCTCAAATGTGCCTGTTCTCCAGGCCCGGCGCCCTCCCCTTCCATCTGTTCTCCTGGGCAAGCTCCCCCACTCCGGGGCCTCCGGCTGTGCTCACACATCCCGGGTTTGGTCTCCCACCCAGACCCCTGCCCAGAGCTCCCGAACCCATGCCTCGTCGGCCCGGGGAACTCAACACGGCCAAGCCCGAGCCTGTCACCCTCCCACCCTGACCCGTCCCCCTCCCGCATTCCCTGCCTCTGAGAACAGCGTCACCAGCCACCCCAGCTCCGGAGCTAGAATTAGGAGTCATCCAACGCACAGTCATCCTCGACACCTCCCTCTTACCCCCACATGGAATTGGTCATCAACTCCTATGGATTTCTCTTCAGAAAGGATTCCAGTGCCACCCTCCTCACAGCCCCGCTGGCAGCAGCATAGGGCAGGACCTGGCACCTCTCTCTCATTCCCACAGCTGCCCCCTCACTTACCCTCCGGTCCATCCTCCACATCCACTGCCACCGGAGAAACATTTCTAAAATGGAGTCTGGATGATGGCCCACCCCCGCTCAGAATCCTCCCGTGGCTCCCCACGGCCCTCACCGACACACTCGTGTGGCCTGCAAGGGCCTGCCTGTCCCAGCCCCACCTCCATTTCCTGCCACATTCTCTACATGCCCAACATGGCCCACACCGAACAGGCCATGCTGGCCCGCCAATGCCAGTCCTGCCCTCTCTTATCAAAATCCTCCATTTTCTTCCCGGCCTACCTCCTCTGAGAAGGCTTTCTTCCTTGTTCCTTCATCAATACGTGGTAACCCCCACCCCCTCCCCAGTTACCATGGCACCTTGTCTCTCTGGGATCCATGTGCTTTCATAGCTGACTCCTCCCCTAGACTTTGAGCTTCTCAAGGGCACAGATGAGATAGATCGTCCCTCTCAACTGTCCATCTCTGTGTGCCCGGCCCTGGTGTATGGAGTTGGCAGCCATAAACATCTGACGTGAGGGCTGATTAGCATGAAATGAGAGAAGAAGCCTCGAATGCCACTCTGTCCCCACGCCTCTGCTCCTGAGTACCTCAACCAGCTACCCCTCCCCAGAGCCTTTCCACTGCCCGCATGTCGCCCCTGCATCATCCCTTCTACCTGCTGCCCTCAGCACAGCGAGGAGCCCCGGGGACCTGAGCCAGTGACAGCCCCCGCTGGGAGGATAAGGCCTTGGTCTACACTCGGGCCAGCACTCTCCAGGGAGTGGGTCGAGGGGGCCGTGGCCCTGGCCGTGGTCCTCCACCGCGGTGGTGAGCAGCCTCTCCGATTTTAATGCGGGCCTCAGTGCTTCAGTGAAAGCCGGCATGGGAAGTTGCTAATAATGGCACTAAAATAAAATATGCTACATCTGTTATGGGTAGCAGAACAAAATTAGCTGCTCACACCTCTGACATCCAAGATGTCTTAACTTAAAATACTCCTTGGCTTACTTTACATCATTTACTGATTATATTTAAAAGAAATACAATTTTGCAATTACTGTTCTTTCCAGTGTGATATCTGTGCATCATTTTCCTTTTATGTTTATATATTTCTCCTTCATTAGTGCAGTCTGAAGGGTGATTAGGATTCTTCAAACATTTTACAGAGGTTAAACGTTGATTAAGATTTAATTATTACTGTAAATAGCTTGGAATGACATATGGTGCAAAAGCCTGACATATGTGCATTTGAATAAATGAAGTGCTATTTCCCAGGATGCCTCAGTAGCTGTTTAACAGCTTTCCCGAAGGGTTATGTTACACCTCATGGTAAGATTGCTGGGATGTTATATTTTGTTGGTTTTTGCAGCTGAAAGCTAAGAACAGTTTTCCAGTTTTTTAAAAACATTGAATATTTTAAATACCTAAATTGTTTTGCACAAATTTTTGCTAATTTGTCTAACTAGGTTAAACATTTTCAAAAGCATTTAGATTTTTAAGCGTGGGCGCTGTGCATTGTGTCAGTGGCAGCATGGGGACGAGGGGAGCCGGTGAGGTGGAGGGGACACGGAGGCCGGCAGGGGTGGGCAGGGAAGAGGTGGCTTGAGGAGAGGGGGTGGGGAAGAGGCCTGGGCCCTGAGCCTAGCTCTTGTCTCTTTGGCCCTCTTCAGTGGCCAGAGCCTGGGTATTGGGGTACCGTGGACCACAGGGGAAGGGTCCCACTTCCCCAGAAACTCCACCATGCCCATCGGCTCTAGTCCACACTGAACTCCCTCTTGCCTGGCCTCTGACATGCCCAGCCTGGCCGTGACTGAGTTCTTTGAAGGCAGGGCTGGTCTTTAGTACCTTCTGCCTATTCCTCAGGGTCACCGTGTCTTGACATATAACAGGTACCTGGGACCACGTTCGGCTGAACTAAGCCACAAAGGCCCCAGCACTTCCTTGACTCTACCTGAGGTGGAGATCTTGCCCCCCCTCACTGAAGTAGCATCTCCTTTTCAGGCTCCCTCAGGCATCCTCACTGGCTAAGTCCCTGGAGCCACAGACCAACATCTGGGGGGGACGTTATTTCCCAGTGCCTTCTGCCGCCCTTCTTTCCATTCATTTATTCAACACTTACTGAATACCTCCTGTGCACTGGCAGTGGGCCTTGAGGGTACAGGGATGAACACGAGTGCACATCATGTTTGCTGCCTCAGGGAGCTTGCGATCTAAAGTGGAGAGGGGGAAGATGAGTGGACGGTCAGCCTCAGAAAGAAGTGATACAGTTGGGATGTAAGAAGTGCCTGGAGCTGTGGGGACCCCCCCGGGAAGTAGCCACACCCAGGCTGGAGGAGGGAAGATGTCTAAAGCTGAGGTGCGGAAGATAAGCCTAAGGAGGAACCGGGCAAGGGTGGGTGGGGAGAGGTGGTGACAGAGGGGCAGTTCAGGCAAAGACTCCGGGTGGGGAAAGCCCAGTGTATCTGAAGCACCGCAATAAGTAGGTGTGTATGGGGTTTCCAGCCCAAAGGGCAGGGCAAGGCTAGGCAGGGGCTGAATAGCGTGGGTGTCTAGACTGGGTCCCTGAGGGCAGTGGGGTCATTGAACCATTTATAAGGAAGAGAGGGGTGCCAAAACTTGTGGTTGGGAAGGCTCGCACTGTCCGAGGTGGGGGTAGACTGGGGTGGCTGAGACCTGAGGGGAAGGAAGGAAGGAGGAGGTGAGGTGGTGCCAGAGCACCACTGGGTGGTAGCGTGGGGAGCTGGGTTGGGCCAGGAGGGAGATGGTACTTCAGTTCTGATTTAAATTTTAGGGTTGAGTTCAAGTGCCTACAAGACAGTCCCTGTGGGCCCGGGATTCAGGGCAGAAACATGGCTGGAGAACCCTCAGATCTGGGGAGTCACCGGGAGGGTGGAATCACCTCAGGGATTGTGCAGGGAAGAGGGCCCACAGCCAGACCAAGCCCCCAGGGTCCCTGGGAAGTGTCCGGCAGATGTCACAAAGTGCAGGGTGGCAGTGACTTGAGAGAGAAGGATTTTTGTGGAGTACGGTGGGAACAGAAACCAGATTTGCTGTGGGTTGAAAAGTCAGTGGGAGGGGAGGAGGTGCAGAAGGCCACCTGAGACAGTGCCTGAGAGAAATTTGCCTGTGGGGGAGGAGAGAGACCAGGCGGTAGCTGGAGCGTGACGTGGGGTTAGCGGGACAGTTTATCAGATGGGAAGTTCTTGTCAGTGTTGAAACGCTGGTGGTCTAGAGTCAGTGGACTGCGAAGGTGGGAGACAGCAGGAGAGTCTGGGAGTGGGCTCCCGGAGTGGGCATGGGGGGGGGGTGGATCCCAGGAGGTTCTGTCTTCTGAGGGGAGGGGTGGCCCAAGGGCAGGTGCAGAGCAGCATGGACAGGTAGTTCATGGCTTTGATGGTGGGATGCCTAGGGGCCTGTTCTGTGGTCTTCTCCTTTTTCTCTGAAGTAGGAAGAAGATTCTTCTACTCAGGATGAGTGGGGGGCTGAGTGTGGAGTGGCTGAGGAGGGCAGAGAAGGTTTAAGGTGACTCTTGTGGAGAAGGAGGGCAGGAGCTGACTGGGCAAAGTAGCTGGGAGGAGGCGGTTTACTGATCACTGTGGGGGTCCATCAAAGTCAGGTTCAAGTGGAGAGATGGATGCGTGGTTGAGTTCCTGTAAACCTGGGCCTCTGCCAGTCAGGACTGGAAGGACCTTTGGGCCAGAGAGTGGCTGGAGCGACAGCCCCTCGTGTCTGGGTTGGAGTGGGCCGGTGTGAAGACTGAGCTGTAGGGAGTCTAGGCCTGAGGGCTTCGTCGTCAAAAAATACATAGGGAGAGTGACTGGGGTCCCGGAAGGATAGGGGACTGGGGAGTCCAAAAGGGTGGAGTTTGGATTTCAGGAATGTGGGTGGAGCAGCCCTGGGTGGTGACCAAGTCCAGGGTGTGGCCCTGGGAGTGGGCGTGTGCCTCGCAGAGGACTAGGCCCTGGAAGATGAGGAAGACACAACCCGGAGGTCAGAGTGTAGGACGTTCACCTGCGTGGACACACCGTCAGAGGAAGACACGAGACCTAGCCGGGAGGTCTCCTTGGCAGGAGGGCAGTAAAGGAGGACATGTCAGTAGGTGGCATAGGGGGAGAACTTTGGGCACCAGGGTAGTCTTACCCCTTCCCTTCCATCCCGTCCCCCTCACCTTCCTTCTCTGTTCTCACTCTCTCCTCAGATCGAGACCTCCCAGTTAGAGCCTGAGATTGCCCGGGCCACGAGTAGTCGGACAGTGATATACAACAAAGGGCTGTGAGTGGTGGCCGGCCGGCCTGGGGACGGAGCCCTATCCAGGCCGGGGAGCCGGGGGCAGGGAAGGAGTCTCCTGGGCTGCACCTGCAGGGAGGGGCGAGCTGACCCCACCGGTCCTGGGCTACCGGGGGGAGCACTGGATCCGCAATGGTAGGGAGACTAATCAATTCACATGTTAACATAGGGGTGAGGAATTCTGACACATTTCCTATAAAAAAAAATAATCAAGTGCATTTCTGGGCCTTACGTGGGGTTGTCAAAACTCTACTCAGCACAATTATGTGTGAAGCTGAAAAACTGTAGAGTGCCCACGGGGTAGAATTAGGATCCTTTTATACTTTGGGGGTTTTTTTCTTTTGATTTTTATTCGAATCAAGTCTGAGCCTTGGCTGCAGCAGCCCAGATGGCGGCAGCTGACCAGTGGTGGTAGTAGGTCTAGGCCTGGGGGCTGGTTGGTTTGGCAGAAGGGCCTGTAGATTCAAAATATTATGGTGGCCAGGCCCAGTGACTGGGGAGTGGGTGGGGGAGGGGATCTACACCTCACAGGAGAAACCAGCTATGACTGAGGCCCTCAGGAGGTGGCTCAGAGAGTCAGGAGCACGGGAGGCCTCTGGAAGATTGTGTGGGCAGTTGGCTCTGAGTATGGCCCTCATCCATGCTACAACCTGCAGAACCAATCCCTCTGCATGAAGCCCAGTGCCTGGGACTAGGGTCACCCTTCATGGAACCCTGATCCATTTGAAGCCCCAACTTCAGGCAAGAAGCCCCAAGAAGGAACGATGTTTGGCTGGAATTGTGGGCCTGCACTTTGACCTCCACAGGGAGACCCTCCTTCCAGTCACCAGGCCGGAAGCTGGGCAGTGGGGCTGAGGGTGGGTCTGGAGCTGGACCGCCCTCCATCTGGGGGGCTCTCAAGCCCCCAAGGCTGCCTGCCCCATCCCACTGCTTCGTGAGAGGGAGGGCCTTACGTTGAGTGCGGAGGCAGGTTCCTATCTAAGAGTCAGCATCAAGCCAGAAACTGCAGGCCCTGGCTGTGGCCCAAATGAGCTGTGTGACCTTGGACAAGTCTGCTCCGCTCTCTGAGCCTCTACTCCCTATCTGGAACCAGAGGACTAGATCAAAGGGTTCCCACCGGCTCTTCCAGCTAGACCTCGTCTTTGGCTGTCCTGCTCAGATGCTGGTCGTCCCCAGTGTGGACACTGAACTGGGAAAGGGGCAGGCCCCTTCGGGAATGGCCTCAGGACCTAGACCTTGACTTTCTGTATGTGAGCCCACATCCTGGGAACGCTTGATCTTTGCCACTTTTCAGTTCTGAAGGAGGAGATGGTGCCAGTGGCCGGGCCTAAGTGTGGCCCCACTCCCACCTGCCACCTCTCGCCCTGCACTGGCCTCCGAGGCCACTTGCTGCTGGCTCCTGTCTCTTCCCATCTGCAGGCCAGGAAAAGGAGAGGCCTGCAGGGGCTCTGCAGAAGAAAGAGCCTGAGGTGAAGTGAACAGAGCAAACAAAGAGGAAGCACGGGCCCTTGTACCCTTCACCCCACCCCAGCTGGAATGGAGCCCCCAACATGCAGTCTCAGGGCCTCCCCGCCCCCCCGTGGTGACTCCACCTGGGCAGAGACCTGGCTGGAGGTGAGCACATGCATGTGGAAGAAAAGGCTAGTGCATGGCCGCGAGGCTGTGGCCCTGGGCGGCTCTTGCCATCCTCCATGCAGGGGTGGTTGCGGGAAGGTGGGTCTTCCACAGGCACTGACACCACGTACCCCCCGTCAGAAGCCCCTGCTGTCCTCACCTCTCAGCCAGGCCCTGCTGCTTCTGCAGAATGCTGCCCTGAGGGCCCCCCGCTCTCCTGAGGAGTAGCACCCCCCTACCAGTCAGGAAGGGGTGAACACAGAGCAGGTAGGGAGAACAAAACAGCAGAGAAAAGGAGGCAAGTACTTTTGAGCCAATCCTGCCATAATGTGACTGTGCCAATGACTGGCTGAGCGTGCCTGGGTCCCCTTTTGAAAAGCTCTCTTCAAGCTCACCCTGCCCCACCTCTCATCGGACCTTGTGCACTTTCCCTCGAGACCAAAACTACCCACCGCAGCTCCACCCCCACGCTTGCTGGAGACCTGGTAGAGATGGGGTCTCCCAGCTCCCTCTCTGGACTGGCTGCCCCAGCCCAGCCCCACCCCAGCCCCAGCCCTGTGGCCTTTGTCATCTCATAACCTACCGACTTTGTCTCCTGGATGATCTCTGGTCAGGCTCCCAAATGCAACTTCGCACGAGCTAAGGGGGCTCCTCCTTGGGAAAGGGGTTGGCAGATCTGTATAGCTCAGGGTGATGGTGACAGAGGGTCAGAGGGCCATGCTGATAAGATAAACCCTGGCTTGGCTGTGGAAAACACCACGAGGGAAAACTTTTGGCCAGCCTCCATCCCCGCCTCTGCTGAGGCCAGAGGAAGGGAGGCCTCGTCCACAGACCAGCTCATGACTGGGGAGGAGGCTGAGCTGGGTCACACAGTTAGGCCAGTGGCTGGGCCGGCTGGGCCAGAATACAGGCCATACCTACAACTGGTTCTCTAGTCCTGGTGTACTGGCCTAACCTTCTTCTGGCCACTTCAAACATTCCCTCAGGCTCGGGAAGGGTAGCCTTTCCCCATGGATGTCTTTCTCCCATTCCAGAGAATAATCTGATGGTGCAGGGGCCAAAAAAGACCAAGATGTCTAGATGGCTGCTGGGTCAAGGTGGCGAACAGCCTCCTTTCTACTTCCTGATTGTGAGCTGGCTTGTTCTCTGTCCTGAGCCCCTGGTCTGGGAGAAGAGTGGGGTCCTGAGAGGAGACGGGCCAGAGGACAGAGGCAAGTGCTTTTCCCAGCCCTGGGCTGGGTATGAGCGAGGCACCAGCACATATGCCTTGGCCACACCAAGGGGACTTTGCAGTGTCTTTTTAACCTTCTCAGAAAATTTCTCAATCTCTGTCGTTTATGTAATACTAATGCGCTGTGGGCAATAAATGATGGATTTAAAGCATCAGGGCTTGGCTTTGTGGATTGTGGGTGGGAGCAATGGGGAATGGAAACACAGTGGGGTCAAGCCAGGGCTGCCTGAGGATTTTGTAGGAAGCCCCCCGAGGAAAGTGCAGACCCCAGGCTCCAGGAGGGGTCAGGCCATTTGGGAGGCCCAGAGGGAAGGGGAGAGGAAAGGGTGGAAGAGCATGTGAGGACAGGAAGTTGGACAGAGGGCGTGGTTTGAACTCTACAGAAGGAACCTTCCTTTACAGAAAAGGTGCTGAGCACTCACTAAGGCCCCACTGCATGGTCCTGGAGGAGAGAGGGATGTCGGTAGATTCTCCTACTATTGATATCGGGGCGGGGAGGGGGGAGGGGACACAGAGAGGGAGTGCAGGTGGGAGGGGCACTCTGGACTGCCTGGGAGCCCAGAGAGTCTTCACAGGGAGGAAAGAAGTGGGCCAGGTAGAAAGGTACCAATGTCACAACATGTGTGGAACTAGCCCCAGGAACTCTGCCTCTTCCTAACTTCCCCATAGTTCCTCTTTCTGGCCCCTCTTGCTCTAGGGAGCCCCCAGAATCCCTGGGGAAGCAAGGCCTGAACTCTTCTCCAGGACCTCCAGACATCTCCCACCCCTGCAGGGAGACATGATGGCCTCCATGTCAGGGGACCATGTAGTACACCTCCACGGCCGGGGTCAGGTCAACCCCAGTGCCAGCCCCAGCTTGGCCCCAGCATGGTTGTTTGACCTCTAGCCAGTCACTTCCTTTATTTGCCCATTAATTTGGTCACATGTTTATGGAGCACCTTTTCCAACAGAGCCTTGGTGTCTTTAGCCATAAAATGTCAAGAACAAGCATCACTTGCTGGGCTGGCATAAGGATTGGAGAGACCAGGTGAGAAACGCACCCAGACTCCTCTCTGGCCTGCCAGGTGTCAAGAGGACTGCTGCCTCCCCTTACCTGTGCACTGGGCCTCCCTAGGAAGCGTGGGGTTGGGGAGGAGGGATGGGGGTGGGGTCTGTTCTCAAAGTGATACTTCTAGGTCATGGGGCTTCTGGTCTCTGGGGAATTTCTTTGCTAAGAGCCCCACTGGCCACAGCCCCCATCCGGGCGGAAATCCTTGACTCTCAGGACAGACACAAATCCCTCCTGGGAGCTGTTTGTTGTTTTTAGCTGGTTTGGGGGCTCAGCTCCTGCCCAGCCCGGAGATCATTAACACTCCAGGAATGTGGCCTCCCTGGCCCCATCCCTACCCGCTGGCCCCTAGGGCCTCCCTCCTCCCACTCAGGCCCTGATTAGAAGGAGAGTCAGAATGCTAGGGGATAAGGACAGTGATGAGTGACTCTTTCTCAAGGCCCTGGGGTACCTGGGGTGATTTGCAGGATGGAGCTCCCTCAGTCTTCCAGAGCTGCTGCTGCTCCTGCCATCTCACCCACACCCCTGCCACCTTTTAGCTCCTTAAACAGAAAAGTGTCAGCCATTCCCGAAAGGCCTAACCCCCACGTGCCCTTGCTTCCCTGCAGTACCAGGAGTCTCCTGGGCAGTGGCTGAAAAATGTTCATTCACTTCTCGTGTCCCACCCCGAGGTAGCCGCTGGCAACCTCGTCTAAGTTTGGAGCCTAGCTCCTTCCTGACAAGGACATCTTCTCAGCCAGAGCAAGAACCTGGGGCCCCACCTCACCCCAGTTCCCTGGGTCTCATGGAAGGGTAAAGGGAGGGAAGGAGAAAGAGAAGGTAGACAAATGGACATCAGACAGAGGCACCAGGTGCCCCATGCAAATCAGGTGAGGAAATGAGGGAAGGGGGCTGCCACCAGCTCCCTGCTGCCCCCCCCTTCACCCCTGAGCTGGTTCTCCTTCTCTCCACATGTAAGCCTGGCAGACGGAGGGGCAGTACAGCCAGGCCCTCATTCAGTCTGGGGGTGAACTGCGAGAAGCTCAGCATCAGGGAACAGGGGCCAGGACAGGATGCTGGAAATAGAAGTGCGCCAGCCGCTGTAGGACAAGGGGCAGCTGGGAGTCACCGGAGCCTTTAAGTAGGGAAGTGGATTCCTCTGGCAACAGAATGGAGCATATCGTGGACTCAGGCAAGACTGCTGGGGAGACCAGGAGAGAGTCAAGGTGAGGGAAGACAGAGCCTAGGGGAGCCTGGGAGGAGGGGGATGGGAGAATGAGGAGATTCAGGATTGCTCAGCTCTAGGTGATGGTGGGGAGGGTGGCAGAGAGAAGTCAGAGATGGCCCCAGGTTCCCGGCTCAGGCAGCCGAGGACATAGATGGGGTGCCATTTCTCAGCTAAGGAACAGAAGGGAGAACAAACCTGCAGGCATTCTGCTTTACAGGTTATTAGAGGTCCCTGTGAGATGCTCAAGTCGAGGTGTCAGGGGACAGTTGGGTGTGCTTGTTGGGAGCTCAGGAGGCAGGTGGGGACAAGGTAAGTGGCTTGGCGTGATTAGCTCCTTAAACAGAAAACTCTCCACCCAGGGGAAGTATGTGGGGTGAGAGGAGGAAGACCTGGGAGAGAACAGCCAGGAGCCCCCACCTCGGAGGCCTGGCCAGAGACAGGAGGCTGCTAAAAAAATCAGCCATAAGAAGGGTGTTATGGGCTGAACTGTGTCCCCCTAAATTCAAATGCTAAATCCCCAACCCCCAATACTTCAGAATGCAACTGTATTGAGAGGTAGGGTCTTTAAAGAGGTTATTAAAGTAAAATGAGCTCAGGTGGGTGAGTCCTAATGCAAAATGACTGGTGACCCTATAAGAAGAGGAAGTTTGGATACAGACAAACATGAAGACAGCCATCTTCAAGGCAAGAACAGAGGCTTCAAAAGAAACCAACCCACTCTGAGCTGGTACTCTGAGCTCGGACATCCAACCTCCAGAACTGTGAGAAAATGAACTTCCGTTGTGTAAGCCGCCTGGTTTGTGGTGCTTATCCCAGAAGCCTGAGCATACTAAGGTGGGGGAGGGGGGGATAAAGGAAGTGAGGAGAGCATGGGACCCCAGAGGACAGGAGACGAGAATGTGCTGGGAGATGAAGCAAGACAAAGACCAAGTACGTTCCTTGGAAGGACCTGGAGAGAATAGCCTCAGTGGAGTGTGGTCAGGGCAAAAGCCAGATCTCTGTGGGCTGAGAAGTGAGTATATCTCCGAATGGCTGCCAGTGTACAATTAACTTGTAAAACAAAGGATTTCCAAGAGATTGGGTTGCGAGCTGGGCATTGAGACGCGACAGTGGCTGCAGCACAATGTGGGGGCTAAGGAAAGGCTTCAGAAGGAACACTGAGGCTTGTGGACATGAATGAGTGAGAGGGGAGGAGCCTGGGGAGGCAGGAGTGAGGACTCCGGAGGAGGGCGGGAGGAGAGAAGAGTCTCAGTGGTAACAGGGAGCAGGTGGAGAAGATGGGCTGGATGCAGGTAACGTGGGCCTGAGGGAGGGAGGTTGGAGGGTGAGAGACTAGCTTGCCTGGCCCCTCCAGATATACTTTGCACCATTCTCCATCCGCTCTCTGTTCCGGAAGGCTGCCTCGTATGGACTTGCCGTCTGGCTCCCGTGGTTGGGAGTCTCCAGTGGGAAACTGAAGGATCTGAGGAGGGTGACACTGGGGGATTGATGCCCCTGGTCTCCCCCGCATCTTTGGGCCTTCCGTTCGCAAAGGCCCCGGCTCCTATCTGGGGCTGTCTCCATCCATCCATCCTTTTGTGTTCTGGTAACTGCTCCTGCCCCTGCCTCTTCAGGCCCCAGGGCTGTGGGCCATTGTCATTAGCCTTGTGGCATTAAGCATCTCTTGTTGGGTTCCCCAAATTTGTGAATTGTTCCTTTATCCAACTCTCCTCAGATTGCCCCATTTGAAGGGACTACCTCTTTCATCCGGGCCCCTTATTGCTATGAAGGTGTTCCCTTCCAGCGCACCTCATTTCTCTCTGGAGATGGAAATAAGGTCCTCTGTTGAGGGTAAGCAGAAGAGGTTTGGGGAGAAGCGTGACTGAAACATCCCCTGTGGAGAACGGGAGTGGATTTATCAACAGGGGTGAGGCGTCAGCTGAGGCTGGGACCTTGGACTTCAAGGAGTGCCACCCAGCACACTTACAGGATGTCCCCCGGACTCCACTGCAAGGGCAGATGGGGAAGCAGGTTCAAGCAAGTTCACAATTTTTGCCAGGAGGGTGCAACAAGGAACAGTGGGACCAGGAAATGTCCGAGAGAGAATAGAGGGGCCCGTGGCCCGGAGCGGGCTGTGCGGCCAAAGCACAAACATAGGAGAAAACTGAACGAGTGAGAGGCAAGAGCATGTGGTTTGATAGGGAAGGACATCTGAATGTGTGGTTAGAAAGAAGGCGTGACTCTAGGCTCTCATAAGCCCTGAGAGTGAGTGGTGATGAGGTGAGTAGGAAATGAGAGCCTGGGGCGTTGGGTGGGTTGTTCATGGAGACCCCCAGGTCTCGGGGAGGCAGGAAGACCATGAGCTGGTAGCCACAGTCTGACAAATGAGGGGGTATGGCTGGGACAGGCAGCACACCCCGCCCACGTGCACAGCCGCACGCCCACACACACCCACACAGTCACACTCGCGCGCACTCGCCCACAGCCCTCCCAGACACTCCCAGACACCCTCACATGCACTCACCCTCACACACACCCCAGACAGCAGATGGGGCGCTCGGGTAATTGGTTAAACCTGTTCCCGATGTCTGGCTCCGCATTGGCAGCGCCTGTCTGACAGGAAAGCTGGCTGGGCCTGCACCACTCAGCCTGCTGGCCTCCCCGCCCCTCCCCCTACAGGGCTGCCCGAGAGCAGGGGCTCCAGGAGAGGCCTGGGGGCGGGGGTCGCCTGGCTCCCTCCTGGGCAGAACCCAGTTGACAAGCGAGGGCTCCATGTAGTCCCATGGGAAGCCGTCACAGCACCCCAGAGGAGGAGCTGGTGACAACCAAGTGCAGAGATGCTGAGAGCACCAGCCATGCCGCTGTGGATCTGTAGGGACTAATCTCAGAAAGTTCCACGACCAGAGTGTAAAGATCATC